TGTTGGTGTGGTGTGTTGAAGTGGTGGGCAACTGGAAGCTTGGGTCTGTTTTACGAACAGAACGTGGGTGTTCTGCAAAGTGGGCACTCGGTCTGCGTTTTTCTAATGTAGAGGAGACCACACTGAAATGGAACCGGAGTTGTCGAGAAAGAAAAGGGAGGAGTCAAAGATGGTCTAGTTGAAGGTGAGGGCAGGTTGGAGGTTGGAAGCAAAATTGACAAAGGGAGGGAAGCAGCACCAATGATGTAATCAATGTATCAGAGAAAGAATTATGGGTGGGAGCTGGAGTAGGACTGGAATAAAGAATGTTCCAGGTATCCCACAAAGAGATAGTCATAACTGGGGCCCACGTGGGTAACCATGACCACCACTCCTTTGTCAGCATTCCGCAGGGACCGTTTACTCCGGGACATGCTGGTCCATTCCTCCTCCATTCCATTTGATTCTATCTGAGCATAGTTCACCCATCCCCACACCCTGGTCCTGTAATGACATTGGTTGTTTCTGGCACTGCCAACTCATTCTCACCCACTCTTAATCTTATTGTCACATGACATGGGTTAACTTCAGCCCAGCCTACCCATTCTCTCCTACTCTAAACTCTCATTATCACTTATTCATTTTCTCTTCTGTTGTGACTTATTATCAATAATCCCCTCATCTGCCTACCCCTTTCATATTCTCTCTCTCTCTCTAGATTCCATCTCCATCTATCTGCTCACTTCCCCGCCACCCCCCCTCCCAACGTCATCTGCAGCGTAAATACCAGTTCTTCCCTTATTGTTATAAGTTCTCATGAAGAGTCACTGAACTCGAAACATTCACTCTGCTTCCGATTCACAGACCCTGCCAGACCTGCTGAGTTTCACCAGCAATTTCTGTCTTTGTTTCAGATCTCCACCATCCGCAGTTCTTTGCTTCATAAGGGTAGAGGTTTGGAACAAGCAGTAGCTGATGCCAAATGTTAACTTTAATGCTAAGATGGATAAGTTTTCACTACACAAACTGTATTAAGGGATAGGGGCCAAAGGCTGGCATATGGAGTTAGGCCACAGGTCAGCCAAGGCTAAAATTGACAGGTTTTCAATCAGTAAGGGGTATTGGGAAAAGGCAGCAAAATGGAGTTGAAGATAATCAGATCAGCCATGATCTGATTGAATGGTGAAACAGCTCAAGGGGCTGAATGGCCTACTCCTGATCTTACATTCCTATAGAGAGGAGATGGTGAAACAAAAAGAATGTTGGTCTTTTTATCTAAGGAAGGATACACTTGATATAGAGGGAGTGCACTGCAGATTCACCAGTTTGATCCCTGGGAATGGCAGAATTCTAGTGAGGAAAGATTGAAGAGGTAGCCTGTATCGTCTCAACTTTGAAGAATGAGCGGTGATCTCATTGAAACATATACCCTGTTACGGCCAGTAAGAATTTTGTATTTGGGTGTTGCCTCTAGAACCAGGGGACTCAGTTTCAGAATGAGGGGTAAGCCATATCAGACAGCGATGAGGAGGAATTTCTTCACTCAGACCATGGTGAATCGTTGAAATTCTCTACTCCAGAGGGTTACGGAAGCTCAATCATCGAGCATTGAACAAGCTCAAGGACGAAATTAATAGATTCCTGGAACAAAAACAGAAACAGCTGGAGAAACTCAGCAGGTCTGGCAGCACCTGTGGGGAGAACGCAGAGTGAATGTTTTGAGTCTAGTGATTCTTTATCAGAACAAATAGATTTCTGGATACTGACGACATCAAAGGATGAGGTGATGTATTGGGGTGAAATGGAGTGGAAGTAGATGATAAACTATGATCTGCTTGAATGGTGAAGTAGTCTGAACAGGCTGAATGGTCTACTCCTGCTCCTAGTTCTACTGTTCTTATGAAAATGCATTTCCTCTGGCATTCTTTACGTGTGATCTGGCTTTTGACACAAAATACAAAATTAAAATATCATCTTCTTTAGAACCCCTATAGTGCTTCTTAATTTAACAAAAGCATTCTCAAGTATTGGTTCACACTGAACTTCTTCACCCTGAAAAAAAAATCTATATAGAAAGTAATTATAAATAACATGAAATAAAATGGAAGTGAAGGTAATAATAATGATTATGGTTACTGACAGCACAGCTGTCTCTACATCTTTACAGCTGGCATCTATTTTCATTCCTATCCACACCAGAACGTTAAGCATTATGTCTTGCAGATTAAATAAGCAAAAATATGAGTTTTTTTTTCAAACTCAGTTTGTGATGGATCAAGGAATTAAACCACTGTTTTATCTCCTAATTTGGAAACTGAGAGCTTAGTCACACTCAAGTATCTGATTGCCTTATTATCTTCATCTTAATTACCTTAAGTATCTTCATTAAGAAATAAAGGAACACTTCTATTTATGTAATGCCCTTCACAGCAAATGAAGCACTTGAGAAATGTAGATACTGTAAGAAATCAGTGTAGAAAACATGGAAACCAATTTACACATAGCAAGATTCCATAACCCGCAATTAAATATATAACCAGGTGGCAATTGAGGGATAAATATTGGTCAAGCCGCCATGGAGGAATCTCCTTTGAATACTGGCATGGGATTCCCTAGAAAGGACTGACTATCCTTGGTTTAAAGTCTTATCTGAAACGCAGTACTTCTGACAGTGCCAGAAGTCACACAACACCAAGTTATATTCCAACACGTTTATTTGAAACCATGAGCTTCCAGAGTGTTGCTGCTTCGTCAGGTGAAGTCAATGCAGCGCACTGTAGGTAATTGCATTGATATATCAGCCTAGAGACTCTAGAGTGTGTCTTGAACCAATAGCTTTCTGAGCAGAGGTTAAATATCTGCCGATGCTAACATATACTAGAGTCTACCAATGGGTTCAGGGTGGAGGTGTGAAATAAAGGTGGTTCAGTAATAATATTCTACCTGAGGGCCTTTAGAGTGCTTTGTCAGTTTGATGGTATTATTCACATAATGACAGAACATCAGTACTGTAAGAATACAAGAGGTAAAAGAAAAACTACAATTCAAAATCTAAAATAAAAATAAAACTGTGTGAACATCTGAGAAAGAATGCAGCTTAACATTTCGTTTAAGAGTTATTTGCCAGAACAAGGTCCAAATTCTGAAAAATATCCAAAATTCTAATTTTTTTTTTCATGGCTGATAGATGTGTGACTTATGTTATTTTCTGCTTCCAGTACTGTGTCAGCATATATTTTCCATTAAGTTTTTCAGGTATCCAATTTATAGATGGCCAGTCCTTAATCTGACCAGTTACAATTTCAACTATTGATTAAACACATGGCTCAAACACACTCCAAGTTTCCAATTCCATTGTGAAACTTCCGAAGTATATTAATATTGAATATTTCTGATTATGAGCCTTATTGCCAGTCAGGGTATCTATCTGACTTTGCTGAATGTTTTGATAAATAGTTACTGTTTCCTGTAGTCAGCTAAACTGAAAATAATTTGGGATAGATTACCTCTGATCAATGACATGCATACACCATGAATGTTGAGATAGCTATAGATGACACCGAAAGAGACCTTCAAGTTTTAATAGTCAGTGTTAATCATGTCCAGTTAATGCAGAGCAGTAACCAACAAAACTAATAGAATATTGAATAATATAGCCAAAAGCACGAACATATTCAAATGAAATAACAATCAAACTATAATGTGCCGTGGAGCAACAATATATTGAAAACTATGTTCAGTTCTTGCCTTCAGGACACAAGAGGAACATTCGAGAGCCAAAGGCAGTGTTAGAAGAGATTTGATGCTGATCTTCAGTGTCAGCGGTCTGAGTTACATGGAAAGACTGTAGGGACCTAGGATTTTCAGCCTGGAAATTAGATATTTGGGTGGTGATATTATAGGGGTTTATACTATAGTTATCAATGTACAAAATTCTTAACCAACAAGATCATTTTAAATCCGCCTGTAGGGCTAGCACGGATGTCCAACTACTAAAAGGTAAGTTTAGAATTTCAGATTGCAGGAAATGTTACTTTACACAGTGATCATTGTGAAGAAAAGACTTCTAGCCAGAATAGTAGAAACAACAGTGTTGGAATAACTTAAACAGTTAGATGTTGCAAAATTAGGGTGTTAGGAGTTCATTAGAGAGAGAATTAAGATGAACTGAATAGCATTCATCATATATATTTACATTGTGTTTTTGCACTATATGCTGTAATAAGGCTGGAACATGATGTGCTTGAGTTAGTAGGATCATGTCTTATACTAAGTACTTTTTCAAGGTTAATGGTGCTAGATACTACCCTGATTGGAAATGAGTGAAGTAAACAAGGAAGTGGAGCACTGCGATGGGAAAATTATTTTTAAAGGAATTTACTAAAATATGTTTTTAAAGTTCTAATACTTAAAAACGTCTTTTTTCTGTCCAAACCCATCTGCCCATTGCAATCACATCCCGTTTATAAAGGCGAGAATGGCAATGTTACTGGAGCTTCCCCAAAAAAACAGACATTTGCTCAAAACCAACTCTTGCTTGCTTTTAGAAATAATCAAAGGGACTCCTGCCTCCCAGCTCTACAACTGACATTAATTAAATCAATGAGGAGTATTTTCATTCCAGTTCCAGGGACATAGCATCCTGAGCTTCACTTCCAACTGTCCTCTGTGTAGTTCCTGCCTGGGTGATATATTTGTGATATGCATAGCCCTGTAGGACTAACAGGTCACAAATAGGAAGACGTTCAGTAACATCATACTATTTCAAACACTGAACCACCGAAATGATAAAAGCTTATGAAATTTTATTATTCCTTCAACACCATCTGTGGCCAGCCTGTCTTTTATAAAATTAAATTCAGAAAGGACATTGGTGATTCAGTGCCATCACCTGAATTGCACCTGCCTACCAAGAAATGATATACTGTATTATAGAATGTTTGACTGTTTCTATGGGTCTCGTACTTAATGTCTTTTTTAAGTTTGGCTTTAACTTATTTTTTGTTTTCTGGCTTCTTCAGTCACTAGGAACCAGGGTGAAACTCAATGGGTTGCTACAGTGAACTCAGCTGCCTGCTGTTCTGGCTATTATTTTGCTTATTGCCTTTCAAACATCTACCTACTGAGATTTGAATGTACATACAGAGCTTAAAGAAAAGTAGAGGTACCACTGAGCTGCTAGTGTTTCATGGTGCTAAAAGAGATGCATTTCCTAAATGAAGGAGAGAAAGAAAATCTCACAGGAATGTAAAAATAAAATGTTTTGAGATGTATCAAATACAATACTAAAAAAAATTGGTATTGTTTGCCTTTCTTTAGAATGAGCTTTATAAATATTGATCTGTAGAGTTTAAAAAAATTCTAAATGAACTTTGATGTCTATAAATTCTTGTATATTTTTCAGTGTGCCAATTTGTAATATATTTTGTAAGTGTATATTTTTCTTAGAAGTGATGTGATGTGTTTGGATGTGTGCGTAACCCTTTTATTCCTCAGGGTGTTAATAAAAGGACGTAGCGTTACATTAACTGCTCTGGAAAACCAAAATACTGAAGAGAGAGAAAAAAAAGACAAGCATTTTGTTGGAGGTTTTGTAATAAGCTAAATTATGTTGTGAAAGAGTGTAGTGAAACAGTGAAAAAAAGAAAAAAAAAGACAAAAAATGTTTGCAAAAAATTTGTGGGCTCTACTATTTTATAGAACCTTTCTTTCTCTTGTAAATTATTCTGACATTGAGTTTTTGTTGTAATTGTTGCAAAGGTTTTAAATATTTGTGCTTTCAAATGCTGTACGGTACATGTAAATGTCATTCTTGTTAACTTGATGAGTTTTTGTAATACTGTCATTTATCGAATAAATGTAAAACATAAGAAATAACATTTTGAAAGAATGACTGTACGAAGACTGCTTAAGCTACTGTTCAGAAATAGACCTGCATCAAAAATTTAGCTAATTGACTTTTTTGGTGTACATTACTTTTTTAAATAAAAGTTGTTCAAAGTCAAACATATGACATTTTTACAGTACATGGAAGTACATTTTGTTTTTATGGTGTTGATGCTGATACAATTCCAATTTTTAAGCTCCTGTTTTTGCTACTGAAGCCATTCCCTAAAAGGCAGCTTTAATCACATTATTTAAAGCTGCAGTATGTTATATAATATACAGAACACACATGCAAAACATATTTTAAAAATGACAAGTGTTGCAAATTCATTACCAAGCCAGTGCAGATTGTTTCACTCATATAATATATAGTGTTAGTAATTTTGCAATAGTAAAAATGTTCTTATTTCACAAGCCCTTTCCCTTGCATTAGATCTAAGACCTTCCATCACATCTATTGTTTTTTGTACAGTTGCATGACCAAGTGACTTTTTTTTATAAAATACTGTGTGGATAACTGCAAGGTCAGTAGATTCAGTGGTGTATTTTAAAGCATGTTAATCTCCTTCAGCATTTTATTAAAGAAACTATATATTATATAAACTAACAATTGTGTTGGAATGAGTTACAGATTGTAACACAGTCAGAAGATTCATGCCTAACTCACAAGCCACTTGAGATCTGTTTTTGTGTAACTTAATGCAAATTCCTTAATTTGTAATACAGCCTCTTCAACATGTTCCAACTCTGCATATTTAACTATATTTTACAGTATGTATATATATAAAATAGTAAAATATGTATGTATATATATATATGTTCTAAAACTACACTGAGAAAAATCTGGTTATATACTTCAGGTGACAGAGTATGTAAACTTTAATGATTTTTGTTTCTTTTCTGGTGTCTTTTTAAATATTGCATTTATATCAAGTAATTTAGTTCTGAATTATATAATATATTGCAGTTTTAAATCTACTTTGAAGGGAAATTCAGAAGAATACAGGAAATGCTCTAAATAGCACCGTCTCTGTAAGCTTTTTAATGAACTATTGGGTTTAATTTTCACTAGTTGTTTATGAGTGTGTGTTTCAAGGAAAAGTTTTCTGCAAGTATTGTTAAATATTTATTTTGTATAAAGTTTGTGAACTGGTTGCACTCATTAGTGATTTATTTTATATTGTCTGCACCTTACCTATTGCCTGCAATCACAGTTTGATGGAATGATTGGAAATGTTATATGCAATTATTTTGTTAAATGGCATCAACAATTTTTCCCCTTAAGCTCACAAAGAGAAACCGTATCATTGTGCTGAAGTATGTCATGTTTCTTTAAAGGTATATCAAATAAAAATTAAAAATTACATGCATATATGCCTGAGGTATTTAGAAGTTCAGAGATATCCTTCAGTCCATTCAGCAATGTCACACTGTTTATTGGCAGTACTTTTTGTAATGCTGGGGCTGTGTAAGGTACCTTGTGTTAGCTTTAAAACTTATTTAAAAAAAACAGTTCTGTTACATTCGATTGTTCCAGAAACTCTAAAGGGAAGTGCCTTAGTAATGATCAAACTTGTTGTACAATTGTTCTGTTCCACAGTACTGGTTGGACACAGGACTGTACAGAATCATAGAGGTTTACAGCACAAGGAGGAGGCTGTTCAGCCCATCATATCTTCAGTAGCTGTTGGGTAGGTCTGTGAATCATTTCCAAATCTCAACTGAGCAATTGGGTGGAGGATGCAATGAGTTACACAAAGTGCTTTTCTACAAGAAGTCTGGTTAGTTTGATTCTTCAGCTTCAATAATATCAACAGAGCAGATGGACTACTCATGTCCTCTGTTTATATGAGAAAGAAAAATACAGAAAGACACCTGAGAATGAAACAATTGACAATTTAAAATGTGAATATTTTTCCCTCTCTTAAGTGAAAATGTTGGGCAGTTTTTCATCATGCTAATCCAGACTGAACCTGAACTGGAGCTAGCAATGATTCTGCTATTATTTTTCTTCCCTGTGACTTCCTGGCAGCACAGATGCGATTTTTGAACCTTGTGTATGTCAGAGATTGGAAGCAGAATTCCGAGAACTGCCATTCTCTCAAGCCACACAGATGTTGTTTTAATTATCCGCAGATTAGGACCACAGTTCAGCAATTGTAGGGCAAGTTGCAAGTTGATAGCCTTCATTTATACTGCACTAAAGTCACATACATATGCCATGTAAGATTAGTTTAGAAATCACTTTATGCCTTGCACAGGTCATGGAAATAAGGTGGAGGGTACTGGGTAAGAAACAGGATAGTCAAATAGTGAGAAATAAGAAGAATTTCAAATGCATCCAGATCATTGGTGAAATTTCATTGTTGGATAATTAAGTGCCTGTTTATTGCTGAAGGTGCCAAGCTGAAAGGACCAACTTTCTATAAATTATGCAGCCCTGTCCATATAATGTTGGAATTTGGTACTGAGAGAATGTGTGCAAGTCAGGACACTATCTACTTTCACTTCCCAGCTGCTCTTCCTGTGCCAGGTGCACCAATTTATAATAACTATAGGTAGCAATTTTGCTCGTATTGACGTCAATCCACAGCACTGAAAGAGGCAAATGAAGCATTCTTTAATAAGGTGACTGAACCTCCTGAGGAAGTCCCCAATGTGCAAAGAACAACTTTGGCTAAAGATGGTTGAATTATATTCGTTTTAACAAATCTGAGAATTTCCAACTTTAGTTTGAAGTTCTTCTTAGTGTCTCAAAAATATACTTTATTCACAAAAATATCTTTATATACATACGTAGCCACTAAGCCAGTTTGATTCTGTAGAGTAGGATATGAAGAAACAAAGAAACATTGGAGTTTGACTATCCAGCAAATAAACCAAAGACATTTTTCACTTGTACATATTATATTTACATATATTTGAGGCACCAAGAGGGTCTGATAACTGAATGGACCCCCATTTAACTTTGGCAGAAAGACCTTAGATGGTGGTCTTTCCCCACTGTGCCTTGCCAGCAGCTGCCCCAAGCGTTGGTGCATCACTCAGCACGTAGTCCTGGACCTTGGAATGTGCCAGTCTGCAACACTTGGTCGAGGTCAACTCCTTGCTCTGGAAGATCGTTAGTGCATTCTCAATCAATGGATGGGAATCCAAAAGTTTCCCAATCAGATTTGGAGTCAGGCAGGGCTGCCCACTATCTCCTGCCTTCTGTGTTGTGTAGAGCCTTCTGTGGAGACCAGAAAGACTGAGAGATGTGACTATTCCAGGCAGCAGAGAGCTGCAGGTTGAAGCCTCCCTGTACTTGGATGACGTCACCATTTTCTGCTCAGATCCACTGTCAGTGCACAGACTCATGAGCATCTGCAAACAGTTCAAAGTGGCCTTGGGAGCTATGGTAAATTGAGGCAAAAATCGAGGCCATGTTCTTTGGGAACTGGGTCAACCGATCCTTTATTCCCTTCACCATCAGGACAGATTACCTGAAGGTGCTGGGATTATGGTTTGGGGGGGCCAGGGCATATGCAGAATCTTGGGAGGAGCGCATTGCTGTGAGGCAGAAACTGGGCTTTTGGGAGCACCATTCCCTCTCCATTGCAGGTAAAAACCTGGTCATCAGGTGTGAGGCACTCTGTTGTTGTACATGACGCAGGTCTGGTCCATTCCCAGAACCTGCACCATTGCAGTCCCAAGCTATCTTCCACTTCATCTGGAGGTCTGAGATGGACTGTGTCTGCAGGGTCACCATGTACAAAACACTGGATGGGGGGTCAGGGAAGAACACACCCAACACCGCAGCTGCATCACACTGTGAGTAGACTCTCAGTCTGCAAACACCAAGTGTCATTATGTATGGAGGTTCTACCTGCTCCTGGTGTGCCAAAGGATAGGGCTGGTCTTGTTGCCACAGAACCCTCCATGTAGGTGGACTGTTCTATACTACCTATCTTTGTGGAGAAATTTGCAATGAAAAGCACTTTTGACCACAGGTCCATCAAGAAATGGTCAGCACATTGCATCCCTGAGACCCTGTGCGAAAAGGAGAGTGTGATCCTGTTGGGTTGTTCCCTGAGCAGACTGTCAAGGTCATTTGGCAAAATGCCTCATCACTAGAGCTTTCCAACAAGACCAAGTCATGGTGGTGGTAAGGAGGGCACTACCTGTGAGATCTTTCATGCACGCCTGGACTCTGTTTGCCATCGCACGCTGCCCTTGAAGCAGCTGCTGGGGTGTAGAGACTGCCACACATCTCCTGATGGAATGTGTTTTTGCAAAGGATGTCTGGTGAAAGATGCAGTGGCTTTTGTTGAGGTTCATCCTGAGTAGCTCCATGACGCAGGACGCTGTGCTGTATGGTCAGTTCCCTGGGATGCACACCGAGACAAATATTGACTGCACGCGAAAGTCCATCAACTCGGTTGGAAGTTCATTCAATACTTATGATCACTGCAGTGTAACAAAAATCCACAACCGGATAAATTATGTTGCTGTCATAGGAGGATGCTAAGTATTTTAACTTGTAATACCCGACAGAGTCTGGCTTCCTGTGTGCAACATGGCTGAGATTTCAAGAACCTTAGTGATGCCTTTGTTATTCTGAATCGAATGGTAAGAAATGGTGCAGTAAACTATAAAAGGTTTAAATGTGTTCAGGCTCTGCTTTAGTTGGAAATAAGGAGCTATTTTGCATGTTGTAATGTAATGGATCGGTTTTGAACTCATTGCCTTCAATGCTTGTGCAAATAATATTGAATACATACATTATCAGGCAAATTTATAAAAATGTGGAAGTGGATTTCAAAATCCAGTTAGAATTGGCAGGTGATGAAAGTAGGAATTTGTCAAGTTCATGTCCTTCCTCCGAAAACAAGGAGAAAGCACCAATGCACACCATGATTTGTAAATGCATCTTACATTGCAATCACTGCAAAATGAATAGTTTACAGTTTACCGACATGAAATGCTTATGAAATGAAGTCCCTAAAATTAATTTAACTAGAATTCCGATTGACATTGTGTTTATGGTAAGAACATTTACAGAGTATCATAGGCCAGATAAACAGCTAATAGTTTTTTTTATATATAAGATGGATGCAGCAATTATTTAAGATTAAATAAATTCCATTGCATGAAGAAATATTTGGCGAGGCAAGTGAGATACTGACAGTGAAAGAAAATCTGACCTTATTATGTATTGTGTGTATATATACATATAATTCTTCAGCCCATCATTGGTGGCCATGCCTTCAGTCTCTAGACAAGAAGCTCCCTTGCTGAACTTCTCTTCCTGTATATCTTTCTCACATTCTTTTTTGAAACACCCTTTCAAGCTCATCTTTTTAAGTTTTTTTTTAACTCCCATTCCCAGAGTTTCCTTCTTTGACTCAGTGTAATTTTCTTGTTGTCTGCTTACATTTCCAGCAGAGTGTTTAGGGACATTTTGTTAAGTTAATGGCACTATAAAAATGTGAAAAACTAGTATTGATTGAACATGTAACACACAAGGAGGTAATTCATTTAAGATTTCTCAGATTGTTACTTCTGCCAATATTATCAACAGTATGGATGTGGAAAAGTTGTCAGATTAATTTGAAAAGTTCACAAAATGGAGAGAATGGTATCAGTACATTTTTCATAGTTGAAAATTTAGCCACGTTGGGCAACAATATCTTATTGTTTCAGCTTTTCCCCATTGCTTTCTGCATTCAGTGCAGTCATATATCAAGATAGCAATTCTGAA